TCGATTTGACTCGATCATATATTTAAAACATAAAAAGATATATTTTTCATATATTATTATACTTTTTTACTACTATCGTAAACTACAAAGTTTTACTTTTTTCATTCCTCTCTCTAATTCTTTCACTTCGTTGGATTAGTAAGTCTTCATACTTCTTCTTCTTCTTTTTCTCCATTTTCATCTTCTTATTTTCTTCTTCAAGTTTACTTTTATGATCCTCAACTATTGACTTTATTGCCTCTTTTACCCGTTCCTCCTCATCTGAAGACGAGCTTGAATCTCAATCGTCAGAGTTGGAGTCGAAATACCCAAAAATAAAGTTTACTTTTTTTACACGCAATATTTGATGGATCTCACATTACACAAAATGCAAGGTCCGCCTGATAGATTCCTGACGTGGATTCTTCATGTGGATTCCTGATGGGAATTCCTGACATGAAGTGAAGTGAAATATTGTATCTTTTGTATTTTATTTATTAGATTAAATAAATATATTTTAGCAAGTTTGATTAAATAAATATGGATTTAGAGTTCGATTAACTAAAAAATATTACAATAAAGTTTTTAAAACATTTATAATTTTTTTGGATTTAAGAAAAAAAATAACTAATGATGCCTATGTCTACCCGAACGCACTGTGGTGGATGACGAGCCGACGTGTTTCTTGTGAATTAATATATCTTAATTAGTATCACCATCACTACCACCACCACCATCATCGTCATCGTCATCTTCATATGCAGTACCACCATTAGACTAGAACCGAGATCGGTGTAAAATATGATCTACGGTGGCTTCTACTCAACATTATCGGATGCAAAGTCTGTTACCAATGATGGAAATTGAAATATCGGTGGTGGAACAGATGCAGACGACAATGACAGATAATGTGGTTGAACTAGGACAAGAAGATAATACGAAGAGACAATTGATGTCTAAGGATGAAACATGTCAGTGAAAAAACTTTTCGTCGGAGGCGGCATATGCTAAAATACTGATTGAGTCGAATGGGTGAATGAAGGTGGTGGCACCTGTGTTTGATGCTTTGTTACTGACTATCCAAGCACCAGTATTGTTCCTAATGACGAGCTTGGAGTGTTTTTTCTTCTTGTCTGGCTTGATTCCCCTCCACCTCTAGAACCACGTTGCGTCAGTAGACGCGTATTGGTGGGCAGTTTGGGGGAGGCACATAAATTTCTTGTGCTCACTCCTCTTCAGTTAGTATATATGGCTTTCCATATTGTTTGTACCACATCATGTAACTATATGAAACATTGTGGTCGAATATGGGTTGACAAACGTGTCACCTATCAAATCTCGTCGCCCACTACAACACCTATGTCGAATAATGAATCTCCCAATTAACATTTGTTTTTCCCCTATCGCGTTATGTGATGCAATTCATCAAAGTTTGGTGGTGGTAGCAAAATTGTTTAGACACAATTAAATTGTAGCAGCACGAAATCGATAGGATTTTACTTGATTATCTCATAGAGTATCAACGGGACTGTCAACATTCAAACGCACGAACTAAGATCTATTTTATTCGGAGTACACGATCTAATAACATAATCATTGTATGACGTCCATAGGAAATACAAAAATTTTAAATAACTAAGTTAGATAAACCAAAATTAAAAAAAAATTCAATTAAAAAATGAAATCATTTACAATTATTACCTCGTCTGTCATCTTATCGATCAATAATCTAAAATCATATAGAGTTTTTAGTAGGTGGGTGTAAATTAGTGTACCACTCCACCTATCATTCAAATAACAAAATATAATTATTTGTAAAACCCTAAAAACGTATGATAATCTAAATATATAAACCTAGTTTATTTTTAATTACCTCTGAAATAGTGGAAATTAAAATGGGATCGGTTCTTTAGGAATTGGACGTAAAATGGCAATCAAAATCAAGCCCGCAATTGCAACAATACCAGACACCCCTTAACAACTTGTTTGTCCGGATAGGCGACTTTACAAAGCTCCCAAAATAGAAAGGCAACACTGTCGATCCTCAACTCTTATTTTTAGAGTCTTGCAAAATGCGTAAATGATACAACCGCATCATATGCACTTTGTTTTAGGATTTATCTAGCATCAAGATCCCCCCAATAAGTCATAAAATATGAGCACAAGCAAATCCCTGTAAAATAAAAAAATCATAAATTAAAAAATTATAGTAAAAAAATTAGGATAACATAGCATAAAATAAAAGTTTAAAATTATAAATGAAAAAAAAATCAAAATAAGTAATCGTAAATTTCAAAAATTACATCATTAATTAATGAAGCACCATTGGGGGTAACTGCGTAAAATTGTCGTCCAAAAAAATTAATCTTGATCTTTCCTCCATCCAAATCACTATCGTTCGGTGGAATTATGAGTAGCCATCAACAATACCGATAATAGCTTCCGTCAATAGGCAGCCCAAATTGGAATGCAACATCTTCAAGGGTAGTAGTCATCTCCCTACAAGGAAAATGAAACGTGTGTGTTTCCGGCCTCCACCTTTCTAACAATGCTTTATTAGTGGAGGATGCAACTTGGTACCACGAATTATACTACTAACGTAACCAAAACCGACTTATTGCAAAAATAGAAGAATATCATCATGGGGTGATGTGAAACAGTTGATAGAACACATCAACCAACATCCATACCCCTTCAAATAAATAAATAAAAATAAATAAAAATTAATTAAATAAATAAAAATTACATCCGGGTTTCTCCACCAATAATTGAACACATGCCTTTGATCAAGTCTTAGTAATCCGACCATAATACCAAATAATCATATTTTTTAAGTAATAAATAAAGTGCTTAGAAAAAGAAACAGAGAGAATTCGGTGTGAGAATTTTGGGTGGACAGGCAGCCAATTTATAGGAGCCCTCGCACCCCTTACTAAGCGAGATTAATGGGACCTCGCGTGATGCAAGGCACGAGGTCCATTGAAAAGACTTCCAATCTTGCGCTCTATAGGACACAAGGTCTTGGTATATAATTACAAATTTAGAACACGATAAATTGGTACGACGATTCAATTTCTCCTGGATCTTGTGTTTTATAAAGCACATGGTCATTTAACTTAATATTAAATTGTATTATCTGAAAAATATTTTCATGTTGGAGGAGTCTTATGCCCTATAAAATATGAGGTCTTTACATGCGTGTTGTAGGATGCGAGGTAGTCCTACGTATGCAATTTGGAGGTATTTTTTCAATTAATATTGTTTAGGGTTATTTGTCTAATAAATGAAATTTGTGAAATGTTTTAAAAAAACGCCCAATAAAATCATCTTATTTTACAAAAATATTTTACTAACAGATATATCAATGAATCACATCATTGAGAGTATATTATTTTAAGAAAAAATTATTTGATATACAAATTGTATAAATTTTAGTTTATACAATTCTGTTTATTTTAATATCATTTGTTTTATTTAGAGTTTATATTTCAGAATTTAAATATTAATAGCATTTATATCATTTAAAATTTAGTGTATACAAAGCAAATACATGTGGTCGGTGGGTTAAGATGTTTATATTTATTCTCTCGTATTAGGTCATAGATTCTATACTCATTAGTAATGGCGGATGCACTAAGCCCCCATAGGGGCCAAGTGCATCCCCATTATTTTAGAAAATTGGTTAAATTTAGTTTAATGTGTTAAGGAAAACAGAAAAAAAAAATTTACAATTTTTGCATACCTATTATTTTTAAGAAAAAAATTAAAATTTTGGACCCTATTCTTAAATTTCTGGATCTGCCACTGCTCATTAGGAACACTTTTGTTCTTTCCATAGAGTTTCTTTTCTCCTCTCTATTATGATTAAATTCAAAATTTATCAAACAAAATATTTAATGTTTATAATTTGAAATTCAGCAGTTAATATCAAATAGGCCCATTCACGTGATTTTGTAGTAACCGTTTAAGTTAAGCATTGACGTTGTTAGGAGGGGAAGGGGAAGATTGATTGCGATAAATCTATATATTTGTTTGAATGAAAATTCTGGATAATTCAGAAATATTTTAAAAAAAGGGCTAATTCTGAATTTAGCAATCGTTTTCATTTATGAAGCGAAAACAAAGGGTCATATTTTCTTTGCAACTTATCTCAATGAATCTTTCATTATATCTTCCAACACGCATCACCATACATGAGTTCCGTACAAGATAAAGACTCCACACCACTGTGATGATTTTTTCTTCTTCAATAATCTAAGGTTATTATAAAGTATTATGCCTTGATAATTTTTCTTAATTATTAATAATAAATACACACCTATAACTACTATTATTTGAGTTCAGGATATATAAGAAGAATAATACTCATTTTAGAAATTGATATCACTTCATAGATTCTTTATAAAAATATTAGGATAAAGTATACAAATGGTCCCCGATAATAAGATATTACTTTATTGAGTCTCTTGACTATTGAAAGTTATAAAATATTCTCTTAATTATAGCACGTTGCTTTTTTGAGTTTTCCGACTATTAAAAGTCACAAAATGGCCACTCGACTATTCATTGTGTTCCAAACTCACCCTTTTTTTATTAAAAATTGATAGTGGGTTTAGTACCTAAACTATCAGATTTGGTCTATTTTAATACCTAAACTTTCAATATTTTTAAAATCATACCTAAGGTTAGCTTTTATTTCATTTTAGTATTCTCATTCAAAATTTAAAGTTAAGTTTTGAAAACAATTGAAAGTTTAAGTACTAAAATGAACTAAATCGATTGTCTAGGTACTAAATACGATAAGTTTTTAACGACGATATACTAAAATAAAGCAAAAACTAAATGTTAGGTATGATTTTGAAAAAATTAAAAGTTTAGGTATTAAAACAAATCAAAACTGATAGTTTAGGTACTAAACGTGTAATTTAGCCAAATCATTAATGCATTTGTATACGCTAAGCAATTGGTTTAGTTCGGTATTCAACGATAACATCCAACCCAACCACGTAACTTACCCATTTTTCCCGCATTGTTCAATTCAAAGAAATTAAACTAACAAAACAGAAAGAAAAATGATGCTTCTCCAATGCCAATCGTTTCTTCATCACGATTCATTCCATTCTTCCCGCATGCCCGAATTCCCATCTTCAGTTCGCCGGCCGGCCGCCCTTATCAAAGCCTCATTTCACAGAAGTGACGCAGAGAAGAGGAATGACAAGAACAGGGCAAGTATCTGTACAGCCGACGAGCTTCACTACGTTCAAGTAGAGAAATCCGAATGGAGGGTTGCTCTTTGGAGGTACCTTCCTTCTCCCCAGGCGCCGTCCAGGAATCACCCTTTGATGCTTTTGTCTGGCGTTGGAACCAATGCTATTGGTTACGATCTCTCCCCTGAGGTCAGTCTTCTGATTGCATTACATTTGTATGCAACTACTTTAGAACATCACAAGCCTTTTTCTTTTTTCTTAATAGATTATGATTGCTGAAGCTAAGAGCTTTTATGGGTTTCTTCTTCTTCTTCTTGTTAATTTTAATGTCTTTAATTGTATTTCTCCTTTTTTTATCCTCTGTCATTGGATGTCTATTGAATTGATGCTGCAAATTCCTGTCAGTCCTCGTTTGCACGCTTCATGTCCAATAAAGGATATGATACTTGGATTCTTGAACTCAGAGGTGCTGGATTGAGTGCACAGGATGTGGACTTTGGATACGATAAAGACCCTTTAGATTCTCCGTTTCAGAAGAAGGATTTTTATGTTAAGGACGGAGAATACGGTGGTCATATTTACACCGATGATAGGAGTTTTTCGATCAAAAGAGGCTTTTCAAGTTTCTTAGAAACAGAAAAGAGAGATAATTTAGCTGGTGGGATTAGCGATTTAATCGAAAAGCTTGTAAATATTATTGAAGGAGCTGAAAGAGTATCTCCTGCAAGGGTTTTTGATATGCACATCAGCATTTCTACAGCACTAAAAGATATACAGAAACAACTTGATCTTATGGCGAAGTATAATTGGGATTTTGATCACTACCTAGAAGAGGACGTTCCTACCGCGGTTAGGTGCCATCCCTTATAAGTTCATATATCAGTTGATTACTCGTAAACCATAATAACTAACTCAAGTATTAATAAAATGAAATTTTCATCTTAGATGGAATACATAAAGGATAAAAGCAAACAAAAGGATGGCAAGTTGCTTGCAATTGGTCATTCGATGGGGGGTATCTTGCTATATTCGATGCTATCACGATATGGTAAGATTCCGTATAAACTTGCTTGAGTTAACTACATTTGGATCCATGTTTGTAAAAGCTATTACAGCAGAGAGAATTTTCTGACAATTACCTTTTGGCATTGCAAGATGGTTTGCTATTTTAATGTATAACTGCATGTTTAATTTCTATGTTCTATCATGATTAGAATTTGCTTAGGAGTTTGAAGTTTGGATTTCTTCTGGATTTGACTTAATAAGACCAATTTGAATTTTATTTCCTTTGGACAAAGCACCAGGTGAATTAGACTTGTAAACAGTTTATATTCAATTCTAATCAGCTCACAGCTGGTCTTTCAGTGAAAGCCTTCTATATTCTCCTAAATAAAGGGATTGATTCCGCTTGAAAGGCTAAGAAGTTCGGTGACTACTTAAATGCTTGTCTACAAAAAGACCAAAAATTGCTATAAAAGAAAGTCGAATAGATAACCTCACATTAGCGAATCTCTTGTTGAAATAGCCTCTCAGCTTTCTTACTTGTTTCTTACTTGCTAACTGAAGACTTATTGAATGTAATAACTCAAATTTCGAAAAAGGTGAGGGCTCTTGTAACTCAATTGTTAAGTTGAGGGAAGTTCTAAGTTCTAACTCTGCCTGTATTTCATAGATTTTAGTTTATTATTCACTACTTAATGGATGGAAGATATGTATAGTAATTTATAAGAAAGTTGTTTACATAGCCAGAACTTCAGAAAAATCGTGTAATATAGGTACTCAAATCTGGGTATGTTGTGAAATTTTCTTAGCAGCAGTTAAATTTGGGGGCTTTTGTTTTCTTATTTTTCTATTTATGATACTTAAGGTTGATACAACTGAAACATTAACTTTGGAACTAAGAGTCGGTTACTCTGCCAAATATACTAGTGTTGGCTAAAAGAGAGATCTCTATAGCACATGGCAATTATTTTTGTTCCTTTGAGCAATATATAAGAGTGCCAAAATGTGCAACTTCTATTATGTTATGAAGGGAAGGATTCTGGATTGGCAGCAATCACTACGTTGGCATCGTCATTGGACTATACGTCTTCTAGGTCATCACTCAAACTGCTTTTACCCCTGGCAAGTGTTATTGAAGCGAATTGCTTAAGTTCTTTCTTGTTTCTCAGTATTATTATCTGCTTGGATACAAATATTGACAATAAGCTGATTTTATTTCTCTTTGACGAGTAGGTAGAGCCTGCACAGGTCCTGAATGTTCCTGTCATTCCAATCGGACCTTTAATTGCTGCTGCACATCCTTTTGCAGCCAATCCTCCCTACATTCTTTCCTGGTTGAGTCCTGAAATTTCTGCCCCAGATATGATGCAGCCTAAGTTGTTTGAAAAGCTTGCAATGGAAAACTTCGGTAAGAAAAAAATGCTTCACTTTTGTTTTAATCATAATGCAAAAATGTCGAATGTAGACTCTGGAATTAACACTTATAAGTGTTGTATTATATGGATACTTCAAAATTCTTTCATAGTACACCATGACACAAAAACGCCTTTTCCTACTCTGTAGGTCTGTAAAATGAGAATGCAATGTTCCCTGTGTCGATGATTCGTATGCTATTGTTTCAATGTTCTTGTCAGCTTTTAATAGATCCTACTTCCCTGTTTTAGCCCTTGTTTCTTAGTTTCCGTTCCTTTAACCTTTGAAGGTATCTTTGATGTCTTTCTATTGAAACCTATATCCTTGGCAAAGCCCAGAATGATTTAAAATTAGTCTTTTCAATCTCCCTTTGACCCCGGCGCAGTTAGCTTTTCATTGATGCTTTCATTGTTTATTTTTTGGACCGTTTAGTGAATGACAATTAAAGCATAATTTTCAGAGACAGTGCCAGCCAAGCTTCTCTTGCAGCTAGCAACAGCCTTTCACGAGGGTGGATTGCGTGACCGGAGTGGGACATTCTTCTACAAGGATCATCTCAGTAAAAGCAAAGTCCCCGTCCTAGCAATTGCCGGAGACCAAGATCTGATATGTCCACCTGATGCTGTATATGGTATGATGCAATTCATGTATCCTGTCATCATTTGGCTTTGCTTCTTTTTTCTCATTCGGTTTATAATGATATCAATCGAGCAGAAACAGTGAAGCTTATTCCCGAGCCATTGATCACTTACAAAGTTCTTGGAGAACCTGGTGGTCCTCATTATGCTCACTATGATTTAGTGGGTGGCCGATGGGTGAGATTTACAGTTAGGGTTACTCCATATTAAATGCAACTTAGCCAGTGGAATTCATACCAAATTTGAGCAACTCAACAACTTTTGGTGCAGGCTGTAGATCAGGTATATCCATGTATAATCGAATTTCTCGATCGTCACGATGCTGAAGAGAGGATTTCATAAAAGGAATCTTGAATGCAGTCTTCCACTTAGATTTCTACATCAAGTAGTACATGCATGCATACATACTAAAAGGAGGTAAAGCACCCATACAAATTTGTACTTCTATGCTGTATTCGAGTTTGGGCATGATTAATGACATTTAGAAATAGTATATATATATGTTATTATGTATATAGACACTTAACACACACGCATACCAGACACCAGTTCTGTCTCTTACAACAATACTTCATTTGTATAAGGTTAAGCATTAGAAATTTTGAGTCGCAGAAAAATTTGATGATGTCAAGGCAAATATTTCAAATATGTCCCCCTTTTACCACAATTAACATAGCTCAAGGATGTTGTGTAGTATGTTAATCCACCATTTAGAGCATCTGCCCCTTGAATAATCATAGACGAAGTTCATGATTCGGAAAGTTTCTTAGCATAAATAAATAGAGGAAGCCGTGGTGAAATGAACTATGTGACCTCAAAAAAGATCAGTCTGGTACAAGAATGAAAATTATAAAGTGCAATTCATTATTTTTCATAAAACAATATTCTTCTTCATGATTCATAAATCAAGTTTTTGCAAGTAGAGAAAACCCAAATTACTTAAGAAAGTGAGCAAACTGAGAGTGAAATCTCACAGAGACATTGACATTTTTGAAACACAAATCTTAATGACTTGAAGTATTATGAGATACTCACTTATCCTTAGAAACCATAGACTTTCTGTTAAACATTTTAAAAAGTTTTGATGATTTTAGTGAAATCAAACAATATTGGATGAAAATAGATGTTTAGAGTATAATAAAAAAAGATTTTTAGAAGAACTAAAAAGCAACTTTAGGCTTAAAGTCAAGTGATGGTCTAATTGGGTGGAGTGGTGTTTTTGATTGGGGTATTTTATCAAACACATGATGGATGATATTTGATTCTGGGTAATACTCGCTTCAAAAGAACAATGAATTTGGCAATATACGAGTTCTCTAAACCATTCCAATTTAACTAATTTTTTGAATTAAAAAATTGAAAAGTTAAAACTTTTGAAAATCTTATCCTAATTTGTTGATTCTACAAAACGATGATTGATTCGATGATATTAATCTAAAAGGATCGATCCTTTTAGAAAATGATTAATTCTTTTTCTTTTGGTAAAAATATCTATATTTGTTTTGAAAAATACAAGAGATCAATCATTTTTTAAATAATGACTTCGTAGATACTCGATATGCAGGAATGTCAATTTAAAACATTATATTTTATTAATTTTAATATTAATTAAATTAATCCATTAATTTGTACAACTAAAGTTTATATATCAAGTCACACCATCATACAAAAGCTCTGAGTCCTAAATATCCATCATTATCATTTTTGCTTAATCATTATACATTATCATGTATGGTGAAGATGATTTCACAACATTAAATAAACATTATAAATTTAAGGCCAAAATCATCTATATAAAGATATTAGGTCATAAATATGCAACACATGCAATATCAATTTCTTTGACTAATTGTAACAAAAAAAAACTACACGAGGTCAATCAGACTTCGAAACACATAAAATCATATATATAATAACATTAAAAAAGTTAAATTACATGAAATAAAGATTTTACCACTTGAATCAACGTAGTTTGATCAAGTATAATTTACTTATGTTTCTTGAAAGAATACATCATTCTATTCTTCCAATAAGAATAACATGGACCATTAACAAAGGGGATCTAGTGATGGATTAAGAATCTTTAATATAGTAGGGACCAAAAATCAAAGCATCTTTTGCTGCTGAAGTAGAAATCGTAAGAGCTTTTCAAGGAACTTCTTAAGAGGTTGTTAGATCTTTAAATGAGTCAAGTTACGATATCAAATGTTAATTATTTAGATCAACCGATATATGTCAAGAGGGGCTGAATTGACCTTTAAAAAATTTGTGTGAAAGCAATTGAAAGATAGAAAATGTATATAGTGATTTAGAGTGGTTTTATTTTTAAACAAAATCTACATCCACAACCTTAAAATTCACACTAAAGATTTATCAAACTCACTAGATTTGCTTACCTTTAAGGATAATGTGTAAATTTACAACAATTTTTAAGGTTTATAACTCAAAACCTTGGTTACATATTCTCCAAAAAGAATTATGAATTTAATAAACAAAAACAAAACTTCACAAAGTAAAATGTGTTTGCACAAATAATTTTGTATTGCCATGGATGAGTTATACGAGGCTGACATTTTCCTAATTTTTCGAGACATTATCAATGGTTTAGGTATATTTCAAATTCATTGTCTTTGGAAAACTATAATATTTTTGCAGAATCAATATGTAAGTTCACTGAATAATTATACAAGACAATTCTTATCAGGGAATGCCAAGATTGCAAAATTCCAAGAAAATAATGGCATCAACAGAATATATATATATATATATATATATAGTAATACCTTGCTCACCAAGCTAACAAGTCAACCTTTCAACTAAAAAGCAGTACCATTTCACGTGGTCCCCCTCTTCTTTTTCTTTGTGAAAACATCCCAAGAGCCACAATAAAGTAGTCAGCAAAAAAACAAGAAATGTCTGAAACCAGTAAGCCAGATCGTGGTTGTTTCTGCTTTACTTTCCCACCAAGCTTGCACACAGATCTATAAATAAACTCACATTCTCATATCTCAACTCCCAATCTCACCATTTGCCTCTGACCTGGCGGCTCCTGGATACGAACTTGCTCAAGTTTACGTGATGCAGAAGCTTCATAAAGAGAAAACGAAGAGAAAAGAAGAAGCAAGAGCAAACACTGAAGATGTTGGGCTTGCAGTTAAGGAATCCAGTAGTTGTTTCCCATCGTATTCAACAAGGTTCACCCGGTTCACGTATCAACCTAGGATCATGAAATAAACGAAGAAAATGATCATGACAAGAACAAAGCTGCTTAACTCGACTTTATTGCAATGTAATATTTGATCTCATATATGTTTTTAATCCTAAATTATTGTTATTAACCTTGTATCAGGATTACGTATAATCTGCTGTTGGGTTGTGATGATCGATCTCGTTGGATCATACTTAGGATTTATTGAACTGAAACCTCAACTTTCGAACTAAGCATCTGTCACTCTGCCGATTATATTAGTAGTCGAACTTATGAAATTTTAAGGGACAAAAATATATTTCCAACATGTCGACGTTCCTTTTAAAAATCTGTGTCAATTAAAAATCGGGATTTTGTAAAAATGTTCACCTCGAATAATTTGAGACTCGAGTTTAAAAACAATAAAATCAATTCGTGGAGTCGCCACTAATCTTTGATTAGGGTGTGATTGGACACCCAAAAACATATTTGTCATCTTAATAAAATATTAATTTTAATTAAAACAACAATTTTATGATCTGCGTACAAAAAATTTGAGTTCAGGAGTCGATTACGCATTGGGAATGATTAGTACCCCACAATGCCCTAAATCGGTACCTAATTAATTAATTAGTTGTCCTTGCAAAACTTATAAATTCAAATATAACTTAATTTGAGACACCTTTCAAACACATGCAAAATAAGACAAAATTTAAATGCATACATCCAACGAATGCATTAAATTAACTATTTTACCAACCTTTACAAAGAACAAGGATGTTCAATTATTTAAATGCATTAAAATTAGACATTAAATCCAATCTAACAGTCTTTTATTGGTGAATTTAATTAAAAGAACATAATATTTCTCTCAGTCCCAAATTTTAAATGAGATCAATTTTGGGATACCTCTTTATTTTAAAATCATCAAAAGTGAACTTCACTATAATTTTAAAATAAAAAAATATTACCATTAATCCAATTATTTTGAGCGAATCAAATAATACTTACGATGATATCATACAAACTATATTCAATCCTAGACTTATATGCACCAAATTACTTATTCACATGATGCAAAATAACCCCATTTTACGAGCAAACAAAGAGTATAAAAATTCATTGATTAATAACTTTAACATGCTAACATACTTTTAATATATATTAGTGTGTATAACCTGGAGTAAGCTATTTGCTTAGCTGGCTTCTCATGGTTAGTTTTGTTAGAGTCAGTTAAGGTTGTTGTAAGTTGTTGTAACTGTTAGAGTTTCTAGAATTGCTCTTATCATTTGTATAAATGTAGCTCTCTATGATTGAGAGAATTACAATCAATGAAATGAATCAAGTTCAGTAATCTTGCTTCTCACTTCTTCCTTACTTCTTTTAGTTTGTTCTTCCTTGTAACTGTCGAATGCTATAGTGAAACTATAACATGGTATCATTCGCCAAGATCTGGAGTATCTTGCTATCCACTGCTCGATATTTCTTAAATATTTCTTTATGCGATGCATGGAAGCTTGGTATTTCTCAATAGCTGCATTTGCTGGTTGCGAAATACATTGAAGGTAGCTGCAATTCTTGAAGTATTGTAAATAGGTGATAAGGTGTGTTTCTACTCAGCTTCTTGTTGATTTACTTGCTCGTTACTTCCCCTATGACCTTCTCTATGGTTAATTTGATAGTTCAACACGTTCCTAAGCATGACATTGTGAAACTGCCTGAGAGCACTTATCTCTTGTGGAAAAATCAAGTAACGTTGATCATTGATGGGTATGGATTGTTGAAATATGTGTCTAATGATGCTTCTTCTCCTAGTGAGTCTGTTGTGAATGAATCAGGATAAGAGGAAGAGAATCTTGCCTTTTTGGTTTATAGACAGTAAGATAAATTGTTGGTGTCTTGGCTTTTAACCACTGTAAGTACAGAAGTTCTTCCTCACATGGTCTGAAATCCACGCTCACCATTTGGAGTGCCATCTTAAGACTTTTTGGTTCAAGATCTAGTGTAAAAGTGTCTGCTCTTAGACATAGTCTTCATTCGCAAAGGAAGGCTGGGTTGACAATAAGTGAATATCTGGCAAAGGTAAAATCCATTTGTGACATGTTGAATGCTGTAGGAAGTTTAGTAACTGAACAAGAACATATTAGTGTTCTTTTGGTTGGGTTATCCATGGAATTTGAGTCTATCATTGTTATAGCCTCTCGTGACTCTTTGTCATTAGATGTTCTAACTGAAATGTTTCTTGACTGTGAAGCTTGACAGAAACTTTTTCTGTGTGAGAGCTCTTCTGCCAATATGGAAACATATTTTGGTGACAAAGATTGTCAAGAATCGAGATCCGTTGCTGGAAATGCTTTATCCCAGTCATAGTTTAACTCAGCAAGGAATCAACAAGGTG